GATTGCAAATTCAAGTCCTGCTTGGACAACAACAAAAACAATAAAAAATTCAAGGGTGTCCAGCGTTGCTCTCAGGCTCTGTGTGTGTATCTGTCCCTTGTCCAGACTCAGGGCTTCCTAAGTACTATGGCCATGTCACTGGGTAAGTGTGGGCCAGTTCTTGAGCTGAGCGAATGTTTAAATGAATAGGAAGCAAGTTTTCTACAGAGCACTACTGGGGTCTTTTAAAATTTTGTTGTTGTTGTTGTACTGGAGATTAAACCCAAGACTAATGCTGAGCTACATCCCTGGGCATCTATTACTTTTTATTTGAGACATTGTCTCACCAAGTCACCAAACTTCCCCCTCTTGAATCCAAATTGTGACCCTCCTGCCTCAGCCTTCCAGAACACTGGCATTATAGGCATCCATCACCACACCAGCTTGGCTGTAGTCTTTTTTATTTCACACTCCCTATTTTACCCTATTTCTTATCTACTTTGTATTTTGTTCTCTAGTTTATTTATATTTTAAGTATCTTGTATAAGAAAAATCATGTGATATTTAGGCTTGTGTGTCTGATTTACTGCACTTAGTATTATGGTGTTAAGGTGCATGCACTTTCCTATGAATGATTCAAATTTATCTTTCTTTGAGGCAAAGTAATACTCCATTATTTATAAATATCACATTTTCTTTCTCACTCATCTCTTGATAGACATAGAGGCTGCTTCCAAGATTTAGCTGTTGTGAGTAATGCTGATATAAGCATTGGTATTCATGTGATACTGAAGTGTGATGGCTTTGATTCTTTGGGGAAAATAGCTAGAAGGGCAATAGGTAAGCACAGTGGGATTTCTAGTTGCAGTTTTCTGAGGAACATCCAACCTGATTTCTATGCCGGTCATACTAAAGTCCATCAGCAATGCTGAAGGGTCCCTCTTCCCCTACAGCCTCGTCAGCACCTGTTGTTATTTGCTTTCTTGATGACTGTTCTTTCTGGAGTGAGATGGACTCTCAGTGTTGTTTGCACTTGCATTTTTTTAATGGCCAGTGATGGTGAGTCTGTCTTCTCATGTATTTTTTTCCTCAGGTCTTTTATGAGAGCTCAGCCCCATAAGTGAGAGCAGAGCCTTTCTGACTTAATCAGACCCTTTAAGTTTAGAGTTAAAATTTCAAACTGTGAATTGGGGGGAAACACAAACATGTAAATCGCAGCACACTGAGGCTGGACTCCTACAAAAAGCTCACACATGAGGAGACCAATGTAATCACTGACCAGGGTCTCAGGAAACCGAAGCTGTCAGCCCAGCCAATTGTGCACGGCATGCCATATGATGCTTCCATTCAATATGGTGGCCATGGTCCAAATCAGGGCTTCATGATAGAGAGACCCAGGCAGATCTGCCCTATGGCTGGGCCCCTCCTCTTCAGTCTCTTGCCACCAACTCTGCCACATCCTGTTAGATGAGTTGTTAAATCAACTGTGCTCAAGGGAAGCTGGATTAGACTCCACTCTTAACGGGAAGGTGGCAAAGAATCTCGAAGCCTGAGTCGAAGTCTCCACAAAGTCATCCCAAATGTAAGACAGGTAAACCGACCCCAGACCCCATGGCCTCCTTTGCTTCAACTATAATTTCCTTCTTATTGTTTCATGGTCTTCTTCACACCAGATTGTTAGCTGCAGTACATAGGATCCATCTTACTCCCTATCCTTTTGCTATTACGTAGTACTCTGACTAAATGGCTATTGAAGAGTAAATATTTCACCATATGCATTTTTTTACTGTATTTTCCCCACCTTCTACTGCCCAAGGGCAAGGGCTACATCTCACATAGCATCGTGCTTTGACTCTGGGCTTAGCAGTGTCTCAGTCTCACACAGATCATGGATTGCAGTGGTTGGTGGGTGAATTATTAAGTGCATGGGTTCATGGCTGGATGTATTAACTGGGAAGATATGTCTACATACACGTATCAATGCTTTTGGAAGATTTTTTTATTTACTAGCAAACTTTAGCCTAGACAGAAAACTATTTTTCTTAAAATTCTACATTCAGGGCTAGAGAGTACTTTTACACTGGAATAAGTGCTCACTGGATCCATTCAATTTACCGATTAAATGAATAAATGGATGAATTTGTAATGTGTTCACTCATAGTGGAATAAATTGAAAGATGTTAATTATCAAATGGCTGCAAATTGTGCTCCATGAAATGAATTGTATTGTGGCTGAACATTGGCTCAAGGCTCACCTCCGACCCAGGAGTCGGACAACTGGTATAATTCTCCAGGGAGGCTGAGTTTGTCCTCAGGAGACACTGGCTATGTCAGGGGACAAAGCTGATCCCCTCAGCTGGAAGGTGCTGCTGGCCTCTAGTGAGGAGAAACCAGGTTCCTCCATGCACATCAGGAAAACAAGGGTTTGCTCACAAATTTCCACAGGGCAAGATGATAAGCATTGGACTAGAATTCAGGGAAGCAAAGATGAATAGCACACTGATTTTGTCCTTGAGGCACTCCAAAAAATGTAGACATGTAAGTCAGTAATTATTTGGGGGTAACTTCTTTGAAACCATAAAAAGTATGATCAAAAAATAGATGTGCATTTATGTTAGAAGAAAAATGATTAGAATAAAAGGCACATTTACCATGAGTTTCTCTCAAAATCCTCCCCTTCTCTTTGAAGACACTCATCTCATTGCCCTTGCCAATTTCTGCAGCAGCTCTGAAGTCCTCTTTCCTGAGGGTCTTTAATTGTGCTGTCTGGTTGCCTTGATGTTCTGAATTGACTTAAAACATTTCTCTTGCATGGTCTTTTTGATTGTGTGGTAGAGTCAAAAATCAGCAGCTTGAATTATGTAAGAAGACACTGTCTCAAAACCACTAAAACAAATAAACAAATAAAAAGGAAGTAGCACAGTGTCAGATGCAGTGACTAAGGTGGATGAGGACACAGGATCATGATTTTCTGAGCCGCCTCTCTGCTGGATGGAGCAGGACAGCAGCATTCAATGCATTTCTGATCACATCTCATTAAGACACTCAGGAAAGAGGACTCTCTCAGAGCTGCTTTAGAAACTGGCAAGGAAGATGTCATGAGTGTGTTTTGAAGAGACGCTTTTAAGGGGAATTCATGACAATGCATCTTCTACTGTAGTAGGATTTTCATATTTCAAACTTTACCATTTATTTCAGGCACACCTTATAGATCTCCCTGGAGGGACCCTAGAAGGGTTCATCAGCAGAGAAATAATTTCTGTCTATATTTCACCCTCAGTTGTCTTCATAGTTATTATTGCTAATATTCAGTGTGAAATCAACATAACTAACACATCAATAACTGTTTTGGAGGCCCCTGTTTGCAAAACTTTTCCTAAGATCCACTCAGCATTAAGAAACTGGTGGTCACTATGATAGCTGTAAATGAAGCATGAGGAGAAAGACAAATGCCATCTCTATCTAGAAAACCTTTCTCAACATTTTGTGTCTGTTTCAAATCCCCCTTTCTGTGAATCCATCATATAGAGAAGCATTTTGAGTTAGACTTTCTGGGTTCCTACTGCACTAATCAATTCACAACCTGGGGTGAAACACAGTGACTTTAAAGAATTGCTCTTGGTGTTTTAAAACTGAAAGTATTTTAAATGGTTACTGAAAGAGTAAAACCCTGAGCACTACCCTCAAACCCAGAGGTAATATAGAAGCACGCTTTGAAGAGTGCTAAGGTATATAGCAAATGCTCAGTAAAAATCTTGGGAATTTTGCCAATGTGTCCTTATCACTGCAGGCAGAGGCAGAATCCTGTTCCTTGACAGTGAGGATTCTTAAACATGCAGTTCTCATTTGGTGTCCACTGATGACTGCTGTCAAGGCCCCCAGAAACACCCAAATTCATCAATGCTGAAGTCCCTTACATAACATAGCATGGGCTTTACACATATTCCCATATATATCATCTCATATACTAAGTTACTTGTGATACCTGAAACTTTGTAAATGCTACACAAATAGTTATTATATTGTATGGTTTAGGCAATAATGATAATCAAAAAAGTCTTCACATATTTAGTACAGATGGAATTTTTCTGAGTGTTTACAATCCATGGTTGGTTGAATCCATCTTTGGGAAGAGGCGACCAGACACAAGACCATATTTGCACATTCAGGACTGAGAATATAGTGAGTTATAAGAGAGCCAGGATAGAATCAGGACCTTTGAATAGAGTGTTAATGATGATTAATTTTTATTGAGCACAAATCTAGACCAAGCGCAGTTTCAGGTAGCTGTGCCTGTATCAACACCATGATTTCTGATTGTCATTTCATCAATAACAGCAGACAGTGTTTTCCGTCTTGTCAATGAGAACACAAGGCTTCCTCTGTTAGCACAAACTGTGCAACAAATCCCAGCGCTGAGAAGGGGTGGAGTGGGCAGGTGCAGCTGCAGTCTGCAGCGTTCCCAGCATCTGCTCTGCTGCCTCGACAAGCTACAAGGGGGATGTGTGGTGCTGTAACAAAACTGCAGAAGGGGTGGACTTTTGTGACCAGGAAGTCCAGGGGCTCCTTAGCCCAAGAATCTCCTAGGGCCAGGAGTCAAACGACTCTCACACATCCACACGGTGAATTCATTGTTGTTTCTGCAACTGGACCCCAGCTCTTGTAAGTCTTGAGTGTACGCTTAGGATGCATTCCTTCTTCCTCCCAACCATGCGATCTATATCTTTCTAAAGGACGTAATTAATCTATGCTGTGGCTACATTTAAAAAAATACCCATATCTCCCCCTGTTAACCATATCTTTTCCATATGGAGTTTTAAAGTCAGATAAATCAAACAAGAACAGTACACTGTATGTGCGTAAGGGAGTGGTTGCCAGAATTTTTGTTAAAGAATAAAATGACTTCAGTTGATAGGTATTTATGTGAAAGCACTGGGATCTTTATAGGTTCATGCTTAAAACGTATTTTCATTGGCTTAACTAGCACGAGAGAGGTAAGCAGAAGCCTTGGGATTAGTAATCAGCAGGCTCGGAGTGATGGATTCTGGGCTGGCGCTCTGTGCATCTGGTGGGTTGTGAGCCCCGGGGTGGCCGTCCGTGGGAATCATGGTAAGGCAGGAAGACGCATCTCCTGCAGATGCGAGGGCTGTGAGCTTGGGGAAGAGACGGTTAAAGCTTCCCGTGCGAGCGAGTTATAGCATGCAGCGCCAGTGCCAGGTCAGCAGTCTGCGTGGAGCTTGGACATGGCTGGTAGCGCCAGGCTGTGCCAGGCTCCCAGAGCAGCGCTGCTCAGCATTACTGGTGCGGACCCTGGGCTGCAGCCTGGGCAGTGCTCTGACTGCCGTGCTGGAGGGAACTGTGCTCCGAAAAGAGCTTCCCACAGAAACTGGGATGCAGACACAGCACCCATGGCTGGGACCCGGCTGCTGCCAGGACAAAGGAGCCCGGAGCAGGTGAGAGGAAGCTGGGGGACTTGGGTGCTGCTTGCCTGGTCCATGACTCCGCTGTGCCTCTAGGAAAGTCTCAGCCAGCTGGGGATGGGTGACCAGCTAGACATTTCTGCTTTCCTAATTCCTGGTCAAAGAGCAAAAGCTGGCTGGCAGATTATGCACTTGGGTCAGACAACACTCTCCAAATCAGGGAGTCCACCTCCAGTTAGGGGGAGGGCTGGAGTCTGATTAGCATGTCTCCATAGGGGACATCACTCAGAGCCTTCGGATCAGGAAGAGGATGGTGGTGATGGGTGACAGATACCAGAGGGGCTGGAGTGCTGAGTTCTAATTCAGAGCCTGTTCGAGGGTTACCAGGAATTGCTTGGTGTTGGGAAAAACACAACCTCTCAGAGTCTGGGTCACTGAAAAACATGGATGCACATTTGCTGCGACAAGGTCCAGCCGCTGGGGAAGAGAACTGGGTTGTGTTTGCACCTTTGTTCGGGAGTGCTGGGCGCAAGGCTAGGGGTAAGCATTCCAATAAACTGTCCATCAATTCCCAGTGCTTTGGGACATAAAAAGCAATCACAGAATAGGTGTATGGACTTGGATATCTAGTGCGTAATCTCGCCCAAGCAGCCTAGGAACATGAAGGTGTCTGGTGTTGGGATCACTGCATTGTTTCAGGGGTGAGCAGTTCTCTGGATTGCAGTGAGGATAGTCGTACTGATGGTCTCAATGTTGGGTTAGGGGAGGTGTCAGGGGCATTTCTGAAAGATGGGAAGGAACTTGGAAAGCCTAAGCTTTGGGAAAAACCTATCCCTGTAGCCAATGGGCATGATATCTTGGAACCCAGCTGGGTCAACCTTCATGGTCTACTCAGAAAGCCTAGCACAAAGGTATCTTTGAGGAAAAGAAGCCACACATAGGCAGACGTCCAGCAGCACTTTTTCCCAGACCAGAGGAGCACAGGATCCTGTTCCCTTCTAAATTGAAACCCCTCTAACTCCTGCCTGCCTTTGGGGTCCCATCTGGGCATCACTGTGAACCCCGAGGTTGGTGTTGGTGGATGTGATCCTCTCTCCAGCTCCAGTGTCCTTTCCTGGTCTCATTTTCAGACACACCCACCTTTGTGCCTTGGTGACAATTGCTACTTTTGTTTTCTTGCTATCTCCAGTGGCTTCTCATGCCCCTGCTCTGTTGAGGCTGACAGTAACCTGTAGGACCTGTGTCCATTGTCTAAGGCTGAGCATAGCTTTGCTTTTCTCTACAACTCCCACCCCCGCCTTAGCTCACGCAAGGGTTGCTGCTTCCTGGGGAGCAGCAGGAGTTGTTTCTATTGATCACGTGATGCTGTCATTACTGATGCCCCCGCCCGTGCTCTGGGAAGGCTTCGCAATGCCTGGCATGCAGGATTCAGGACCTTAGCCAACTGCAGGGAGAGGGAGGAGGATCCACGCCCCGGGGAAGCTGGGAATCTCCCAAGACCCGCAGCCCTCAGAGGGTGAAAGATTTGGGGACCCTGGATGTCAGGATCAGGCTGCTGCCCTGCACTAAATGAGAGATGCCAGCAGCTGGATGTGTCACATCGTCCAGGAAACAGAGCCTCGGGCGAGGTCTGCACCAGATGCCGGGCAGAGGCTGGAGGCTGAGCCGCTGAGCGGTTGAGACAGTCAGTAAAGATGCTGTTTATGCTGATGCACTGGTCTGATCTCAGATGACAGCTTGTTATTACCCTTGGGATAATTCGCACAAAAGGAATTTTAATAAAGGCTTTGATTTTGCCTGAGCAGAAGAGCCAGGTCCCTGGTGCAGGAGGAGACCATCCCTGGTGCCCTCTACACGGACCCTTGGAGCCTGTGGTGTTTCAGCGGCCCCTGGTCCTCAGGGGCCTTGCAGGTCCACTGTGGCACCATAGTCCCGATAACAAGCTGCGCAGGGAGGTAGGGTCTACACCCAGGCAGGGACAAATGTCCCCAGAGCCAGGTGGGGTGGGAGAAGAGATGTCCTGTGCCCACAGAGACCAGCACATCACTTACTTAGTGCCTGTCTTGGCTGCACCATGGGTTCAGGCACTGGACAGAAATCGCTGTATTTTGTGTTCCTCTCTCTGTCTTTTTCTCCTGTTTATTTTGGAGTGTTTTGTCACCAGCAAATGCCCTACACCCTGTGGGGTCGCAAAGACCTCTGACCATTCTCATTAGTGACCCTGTGATAAGAGGGCACATTTTTCTCTGGGGTTCACATGAAATGCCTGAGCTAACTGTGGGGCCTCAAGGGATTGCCTACTCCCCCTAAATGTCACACCGGGTCAAGGGGACACAGTGTTCAGAGGAGCCAAGCCCATCCCTGCTCTGAGGGAGAATTTCATGTAGATAAATTGGTAGGCACCAAGGTCACCAGACTGCAGTTGGAGAGGACAGGGTGAGAGGGACTGAGAAAGTACCTGGGCAACTTCTCTCGGTTTATGCTGATCATTTTGGAATCAGGTGGTGATGTGAAAATGCTGACTACAACTTAAAGAATACAGAAAAGGGAAAGAGGAAGCCAGGCCCAAGGGTGCACCCCTGTGACCCCAGGCATCTGGGAGGCAGACACAGGTGGTTACAAGTTCAAGCTCAGCTTTGGCAACTTAGCAATTTAGGGAGACCCTACCTCAAAATAAAAACAAATTTAGAAAGGGCTTGGGATATATCTCTGTGTGAATAACCTGGGTTCAATCACCAGTACCAAAAAGAAAAAAAGTCAAGTGTTCAAATACCTGGTTAATTTGCATACATTATTAGGTGCCTGCTATGTGTAAAATATTATTTTGGTTTCTGAGGGAGACCTGGGAAAGGGGAGGGGTTGGGTCAGTTGTGCTACAGACCAATCAGGAAAGTGCTACATTCAAACCCTCATTTAAATCTGACAGCGTTCGAAGGACCAATCAGAAGAGGCTATTTTCAGTCTTTGATTTGCATTTGGGCACAGCCAATCAAGGACGCTGTTCCAAATCCCTCATTTACATCTCTCAAAAAGCCAAAGGAGTCTTTCCGCAGAAAAGTTTAAATCTGGTGCAACACCAAGTGAGTTTTGGATAGGACAAGTGCCCCAAAGATCTTGCCCTGCTGAGCATATCTCATTTCTACCTTCAATAAATATACAACTTTGCTGCCTTTTCTGGGTATCTTGTTCAATTCTTTGTTCAGGACACCAAGAATCTGGAAGGAAGTCCCACAGGACCTGCCATCTGGCAGCACTATAACAATGAAGTGAAGGACACTTGTAATCTTAGAACCCTTGGTCCCAGGGGCCCAGTGCTTAGAAATCCCAGCTGCCACCCAGGCCAGATAGTAGTCACAAACCATGGAGGTGGGCCAGTGGCGTTGGCTACTTTCTTTCAGTGTGAGATGAAACACTTGATGTCCAAAGTTAAAGAGGAAAGGTTTTTTCCAGCCCATAGTCTGTCGAGGTTTCAGTCCTTAGCTGGCTAACTTGGAAGCAGGGTGGCCTGGTGGAGTGACCTGGCAGAGGAGAAATACTTCATGATGTGGCATCTAAGAAGGGAGCAAACAGCAGCAGCAGGTTTGCATTCTGTCAGTCCCTTTGCATGCTATCTAGGTCACAAACCTACTGATTTGGGGCCATTCACACCTAGAATGGGTACATTAGCCATGCCCCTTAATTCCAGCAGCACACCCTTAATGCACAGTCTCAAACTCTGAAACAGCCACCTTTGAAGCTCACTACCTATGAGTGCATGAGGCTTTGAGGGGACATCTAAATACAATCATAACACCAGCTGCAGGAGGCTGGAGAGCCACCTGTCCAGCTCAGAAGGCCACCATTCTCCAGGGGAGAGGGAAAGAGCTTGAGATGTTATTGTATCCTGCAGTCTCATGGGAAGCCAGAAATCCCAAAGGAAATCTCACATTTTCTGCCTTGCCAAAGTTAAACATGTATGGGAAGGATAAGGGGTGAACGTCATGAGGTTTTGAATTCTACTTGGTCCCTATACAGAAGGCAGGTCACTCTTTCTGAGAGGTAAAGTCCCCAAGTCCAGATGCAGAGCCATAGTCTTGGGTTGACCTGGAGATGGAGAAAATGCAAGATTAAAATCAACAGGAGATGGGTCTCTCCAAGTTGTGCATCATCAGTCTCCTTCAGTCCTTTCCATTCTGTGTGATATGACAGGAGGCAGATTCTTATTTCTCTGTTTCTTACTGATTACATTTCCTCAAAAATAAGCCCAGTTCTTCTGTTAATTTTTGCTCCAAAAGATACAATAGAGCTTATTTTCAGGAAATGTCTGCATTTATTGATGTATAAAAATCTATCTTTCTTCATGTACAAAAATTTGCATTTATTCAAACGCAATTATGTCATCTCCTTCTGGAGCATCATCCTAGTCTCCAAACTCTCCAAACTCCAAATTCTGGCCTGAAGTTTTTATAACTCCATCTTCTGTGGAACCACTGGCCTCAATCTCTCATGTACAGCAGGTAAAGCTCTTTTTAGATGGGCAGAATTCTTGACATGAATTCCTCCCATGAATTCTTCACCAACATCATGACCTCTTGCAGGCTGGGCTTCACAGTTTCCATGCAATCTATTGTTGATAAAGGCTGATAGGGCAGGATTGGCAACAAACACAATGCCAGTTAAGAATGTTGGTCAGAACATAGAAAATTACAGGCATCCCACTTCAGAAAATGTTTATTTCATAGGAGCACATTAAATACGTCAGACATAACAGAGCACATTGAATGATGAAGACTCAAATTAGACACCATCACGTCCATTCGTTATCAAGTACATTCATTACGCACGTGTGTATCTGTACTCTGATTAGTCATTCGACAATAAGCCTCCAGCTCAGCTATTTACATAGGCGCTTTCTTCTCACCCAGGAGTGTCTGCTTGGGTGTTTACAAGTGCCTAATTTTAACTTATATTGTTGTGTAAGTATTAATGTCAATTATGTTTAGTCATATTTAATTATGTGTTAATATCATTATTTTAAAATTTGATGCATTTGT